GATGACGACACACGTCTCAACAGTGGGTTATAAAACCTTTGCTGCTGCTGATCCTGACATGACAGAATGAATGTAGCTGATAACGACGCTGACAAAGAGACTGTGTTTAATGTGGATCATTCACATCAAGGTCGATAGCTGCTCTCATTAATGAGGTGAGCGCATCCGTCAGTGTCAAAACTGATCTGCCTTATTGGGCTTGGTGCATCTCTGCAGCTATCTTTATGCTCAGATAAAAAAAACTCTCTCACTGTTTTAACCCAGAATTCAATAATCTATACATTTTTTGGCGCCTTCCAAACGAGTACCGGGACGACAAGTATATGACGGAGCTCCTGCATGTAAATATCCCATAATGGGTCGATTAAAGTGATCGATCTCCGGGACTGACATCTTCTGCGGTTCTGTCATTCACAGATGGCGCAAAGAAACAAATCCTCCGACATGCTGTAGCGTGGTACGGATCTGAGAGTCATCCATGTGCGACGAAGGAAAAACATTAGCGCGAGTGAGCCGAGGAACAAATCAAGAAGTCGGCATGAAAAAGAGGTCTCATTAAATCTGTGAGGGAGCGAGTCTCACATGCAGCAAGTCGCCGTGGCCGAGCTGTGCACGGCTCATTAGGTCTGCTGATGTGACAAACAGTCCCGGCTCCCGTGCAGAGCTTTTCATTGAGCTCAGCGAGACTATTCGTTGTGCGATGTGACACTATGCAGCAAGTGTGGTCCAAAGTGGCTCCGTGTGACATTAAAAAAGTCTTTTTTTTTTTTCTCCCTCCTCTTTTTTTTCTGTAGTTATCTTGTCAGCCTCTCTGCGTTGATTTATTTTCAGCTGAGTGAGCTTTATTAGCACAAAGGCGCTAATAAAGCTCCACAAGGCAGAAAAAACACATATAATAAACAGCAATAATCACTCCGACAGTTTCCATTTATGAATAGTGACATTTCAATTTGTTTATTAGCTGAGAAAAGGAGAAATTAATAATTGAATAATCAGTCAACAAAATGAACACAGACTGAAGGCAACACATGCTGGGATGTATTATTAATGTAATGCAGTCGGTTTGCTCTTTGTTTGAGTTTCTAGGGTTTTCTTCTCCCCCCTCTCCTCCTGAAACATCTTGCTCAAACACTTTTAAGTCTCCTCAGCATGCGTTAATGAACTCGGCTCTCCTTTCATCTTCTAATCCTCTTCCTCCAGGTCAGCACATGCTAATTTTCCCTTTATAAAATTAAAATAATCAGTCATCCTGCGAAGCGGGGAGCGACAGGGCGAGCGAAGAGGTTTGACATGAAGGTCGTGGCTCCGATTCAAACACGCATGTACCAGATACTGATGAGTGTTTTTTTTTTTTTTCCTCCTCTCCTTCCCACTCTCCCCGTACAGGTGGGCACGTTCGCCAGAGGCATCCTCCAGGTTCGCTACCCCATCTGGCCTCGATACGGCAGCTTCCTGGAGCACTTGTCTGACGACCGGCACCTGACTGTCGCCACGCTGGAGGAGCATCCCTTCGTCATGGTCGAGAACGTGGATCCCGGCACCGGAACCTGCGTCCGCAACACGGTGCCCTGCAGGCGACAGTCCAATCACACGGAAAGGTGCGTGCGGCGATGCAAACACGTGTTGCACGAGATTTAAGTGCATAAATTTGCAGATATAAGCCCACATATGTGGCATATAACCCCCCATACGAGCACCGGTACAATCTGTTTGTGCCATCTTTGTGCCAAAAACCATCAGCAGGCTGGTTTGGCCTTGATGCCGGCATTTCTATGCATTGGAAACAAGCTGAAGAAAAGAAGGCAAGCTTGAGATAAATGGTCCAGTAGGCTTGTACACATACGTAGTTGCAGCACAGAATTTTGATGCAGCCCAAAATGCTCGTAGGTGAACGATTTCCTGCAAAATGTTGGACCACCATGTTCAGTGTTTAATCTCCCACATGGAGCTTTTAGCGATACCGCACCCTCCTCATCATCGCTTTGCTCGGCTTCTCTTTGAACTGCAGTTTTACGTTCAAACTCTTCAGGACTTCTTATCCACTTGAGTTTAAAAGTTCACTGTTGAGCTTGAAAACAGCAGCTGGAAGACAAAGAAAGAAAAAACAACCTCAAAACAACCAAATTCTCCGCAAGCTTCTAAACCGACCAGATCGATCGTTTAGTCTTTGATCAGAAAGTTTCCGTCTCCAAATAAAAATTTTACTTCACAACAACTTTATTTTATTTTACATGGTGCAGAATGTTTGAGAGTTTTGGCGTCTTCTTAAAACAAGCTTTAGCGAACCGGTTACCAAAACGTTGGTATAATTTCGGCACCAGCGCTGAAACATTCCCGAGTCCTCCACGCAGACATCTGCACCCTCCCTCGGTGCTCCTCTGCCCCAGTTTAGTTCTGAGCAGACACTGCAAACCTCCACACTTCATTAAACACACAGTAATTGTGTGTGCTGAGTGTCTAAGCACTTTAAAAACACACCTCCGGTGTCAAACACAGATCACAGCGTGGCAGAAAACAGCCATTAAACAGCTATTACCTGCGACTACCTGCGACCGGCGCTCATCAAGACTCCACAACGTCTTCATTATGTTCAAACAACCACAAACAATAGTCTGTCATGAGTTTAATTGCAGATGGGTTGTCAGAACCAGCCTCCACCACTTTGTCATCTCAGTTTCCAGTTTGTTTGACAAGATAAGCACTCTGTAATGTATTTACAGCCACCGTCTGGAAACGTTTAAAGTCTGTCTGGATGTCTCAAGACTGGCATGAAATCACAGTTTAGTTGATGAAACACAAATGTGATTTACATGGCAGCCAGATTGCAGTAATTTTCCCGACTATTTGCAGGAGTTGCGGCGATATCCTGCTGAAACGTTCTTACAATATGACTGAAACGTTAATTAACTAAATGAAGGATTTCAGTGAGTTAAGCTACAAGTCGTAGAACTGGGTAATTATAGAAAGCCAAAGTGATTCCATAAATAAGCTGACCTTGTTTAATATTCTCATTCATTTGGAAAAACAGTAACTGACTCAACAGTTTACAGTGTTGTCCATTGTATACGTAAGTAATGTTTCTTTAAAAATAACTGAATATCACTCAGCTCAGGGAAGTTGGACGGATCGCTTTAGCCGTCTGCTGCGCTGGTTTTAATTTCATTGCTGGCTTTTGAATGCTCAGCCTAATAGCAACTGATGTCAATTTGTCTTAGAATATGGAAAGTCACTTCTAGGAAGGTGCTTAATTTATTCAGAAAGACTGCTAAATGAAAGATTGCATTGTATAACAGAGATTGACTTAGACTCTCTGTACGAGTGGCCAAGATAAGCAGAATAAAACCGCTTCCAAGTTTCCGTGTTTACTCAGATTTGGTGGATCAGTCCAATAATTTGACAGTCCAGGCCGTGGATGGGTTTGCTTTTTTTGGTTTTTAAGTGCTGCTTAATTGAATATTTTAAAGGGATTTCTTTTTCATTAATAAATTAGACTTGTAAACGGCGCTGGAAAATGTTTTTAATGATGCATAAAATCCGCCTTTTGTCAATAACGGTGAAATTATTACGAGTCAGAAGCAACACGCGTGTGTTTCTGATTCATCACATATTAGCGTCTTTTCTTTATGGATCTGCCAAGACAGCCAATATGAATAATCCATCGTCGTTAAACTGAGAAACTCAAACCCCCCAACCAGCGGTTTGAATTACAGACTTTAAGGGAACAGTTTCAGAGTAAAACACTTCATGCAATAAGTTCTGCTGCTTTGTTCTGGTATGTGAACACACCAGAAGATGCTGTTAATCCTATGTGCTCAGCATATCGAGAGAATCAGGAAACAATACGCTTTACATTCATAGTTGCATGAGGACAGTAAGTCTTGCTGCAACATGTCAGCTGACAGCGAACCGGCCACACACACACACACAACACATCTCACTGATTTCAAATGAAACTTATTTATTTAAAAGGCCTTTAGGCGGACATTTACTCCGTTGCTTGATGTTTGCTCGCTGCTCTTCGCTCAAACTTTCACCTGCGCCTCCTCGGCCCTCCGGAGGTTTGTTATCTCCAACTTAATTCTCTATTATTGATCACTTTCCCGTGAATTTGTACTTTTATGTTTACCTGCAGCAGAGAGTTCACCCAGGAGGCGAACATGCCAACTGCACAGAAAGTTCCATTTGCTAGAGTACGACAGTATACGACGAACGTGCTGCATATGTTGTAATTAATATGCAGAAAATCAGGGGTAAGAGCCTTTTGCTTTTCTTCAAACTGGTTTTGTTTAAACTAAAAAGCAGGTAAAAGACCTCTGTTGTGTTTTGCATGGACACTTTAATTTGTACAAAAAAATAGCAACACAAGCCCGACATCAACAGATTCACAGTCATCCAGGTCAAGGTAACAACAGGAACTTAAATGAAAAGCAACTGGACGCCTCTTTTAAGTTCTTAAAGATGTTCCACCTTTCAATCTAAGAGGTTTCCTAAGTTTTGGAGCTGAACTAAACTAAAACAGCCTCTTGGATGAGAGCTGAAACGTCTTCAAGAACCTAAAAAAAGACCTCCATTTGGCTGGCTACAGACAATACTAGTTCCCCACGTCAAATAACTGCGTAGACATCGCAGATTTCTCAAAATACACCAAAAATGTGAGCTTTAGTGGGAAGACTCACCACATTTTAATCACCTGCATCAACATAAAACAAGAAGTTTCGCCCGTAAATGCCACTTCATCGACTCCGTGTGTGTGTGTTGGTATGTATCGGTTATGCAGATTGCAGAGCTGACCGTGGCTGGCACATTAATTATAGAAAGAGATATGTAGCGGCTGTTGTTGGACGCGATGGCACATTGATTGCCAGTAAAGAAGATTTATCTGTCCAACATGGGGACATCTGTCATAGCGTGGAACAATGTTATCCCATCCTACCCTCTTTCTGGTTCTCTTTCACTATTTCTCTCTGGCTGGCATGTCCCATTTGGACGGTGACCAACAAACAAGGAGCAGGAAGAGCGAGCGAGGACTGCTGCTCCATAAATCAGTTAATCTTGCTGTGTGTGGTCAGAGCAGCTTCCCTGTTGAGCAGATGTTTAGCGTGATTAAAACTTTTTGTCTTGCTCATTAAAACCCCCCTTTCTCTGGACAGATGATGGCTTATTTTGCCAGAAAGCTGAGCCCACCTCTCTGCACTGATTAAGAGTTCGACTCTGAAATTCAACTTCTACAATCTTGTCTCGTATTGTACGGTGGAACACAACATGCGGTGACCAGATGTTCATGTTGAGCAGGTCTGAAGCAGTTAATCACAAAAATAGACAAGCACTTGCATTTCTTTTTGTTTCTTTTCCGGGTTTCATGTGATTGTCCATTAAAAACACTACACAGTCATGACTCGATAATCCGACACTAAATGTAAAACCTGCTTTTATGTCGGATAGCAAGGCTGTTGGATTGTTAAGGGTCGGATTATCGAGTCATGACTATATTGTCACAGGTATGTAGACATGTCTTTCATGCTGTTGCAAGTTTGAGCTCTGATAATTGGACGCTTTTCCAGAACTGTTTTTGAGCTACAGTATTTGAACATGAAAACTGTGGTTAATGAAAGGGAAAGAGTTTGGTTATGCCAAGTGTTTGGTTGCAGTTTGGCCACTTCATCCATCCATCCATTATCTAAACACCGGGTGTCCTCACTGGGACGCAAACTGGTGACCGTCTTACTACGAGGCAACAGTGCTACCAACTGCGCCACCTTGTAGCCTTACTTTGACCACTTAAACACAAAAAAAATATTGGATTGTGACTGTAAGTGGTCTGTGTTCCAGTTTGCCAAACTCAGTAGTGTTTGGGCTCAACGACGCTAATTATTTAACACTTTGCATCAATCGTTTTTAAGTTATGACAACTTCTAATGAAATTATGTTCAACCAGCAACCTACATTGAGTTAAGGGTTTTTTGTGTGTTCCTGTTACCAAGCGTTTGCTCAAAGGGAATCCAAAGGACACTTTGGATTTGTTGAGTTTCTATGTTTAAAATGTGTAAGGTCTTCACTTGACTATGAGAAGTGCGTTAAGATGACATGTTTCAAATTGCTGCTCTATAAATAAATCCCCTTCAGTCGTTGGCTTCCTTAATTACTCAATGGTTAGTTGCATAAACACAAGTTTTATAGTTGATTATTCATGAAATTAAGTTGTAAAAACTATTTCCATGTACCCTGAGACCCAAGACCCTAACGAACCCCACTGTGGCAGGGGGAGCACTAACGACCCACATAACGAGGGGGAAGAGCAACAAACCCCCAACTGAAACCGAAACTCAGGTGTTAATGGCTCCTTAAGGATAGAAGTATCTGGAACTCCCAACTAGTCAGTCAGAACTGATGAAGCCTCTTGGATGAGAGGTGGAACGTCTTCAAGGAACTCAAGCAAGTCCAGTTGCTCCGATTAATCTACCAGAATATTTCCCTGTAATTTAATTTTTTTTTTCTTCTAAATATCAGATGCATATTTACTGTAATTACAACGTTTTAAAGTTGACATTAAGTTAAGGAACATAAAGTTCATCCAGTGTTCAGTAGGTAGAGGAAGGGTGTTGAAATTCTGTTTTCCAGCCACTTTAAGTTACCTCAACTTAAATTTTGTTTTAAAATCAACTAATGCAGAAATTTGAGTTTAAATGACACATAATATTAAGTTGATGCAATTATCACCGGTGTTAGGTCGACCCAACCCATCAGAATATCCAAATAATGTCTGTACCTCAAATTGTTGACTTAAATTAGTAAAATAGAGTTTTTATTTTACAACCATGCATTTAATTAAGTGGTGGAAATAGTTTTAAAGTGCACTTTACCTCCAGCTTTTGCTAAATGATGCCACAGAGGCGTAGCGGCGTCAGATGCAAGTTTGTATTTTTGGGTTTATCGGACTTGAAGGTTATTTTGGAGCTCTGTTTTCATCTTTGTGTGGTTTTGGGTCACATAATAACCTCATAATACAGTAGGTTTAGTCAACTGTTGGCGTCCATCTCTGTGACGACTGTAAATCAGTTCACATCCAGAGTGCTGTCCAATCTGGTGTACATGAACGTGACCTTCTCGCACAAAGCTCTGCCCTCACACTCACCCGACACCGCGGGCCGAGCTGGACTGTGGACAGCGAACCGGCCTTTTCACCCAGAATCAGTGTCGGACCTCGCTAATGCTCTTGTCGCTAAATGGGAGCAAATCCCTGCGGGCAGGTTCCAAAATCTGGTGGCAAGCCTCAAACCAGAAGCTGTTACAGTGAGCTGAAATCATGATGTCACGTCCGAGTTAACCTCTGCTCCACTTGCTGCTGTACACTCGGTGCAATCTGTTTCTTTCTGATGCATTTTCACCGGGTTTTGCTCTCCGTATCCCAACACGAATCAGCAGAAATCTAAGCTTTTCTGATTTTATCCAATGATTACAGACAAAAAAAGCATTGCAGCATTATTATTTAAGCCACTCCTACTTGGTTTCATTATGTTGCCACAGCTTGACCTTTTGTCACGTCTTAAACTTGCACCGTATTTGTTTTTTTTGCACCGTTCTTTGTATGTTCAGTGCATTTGAGTGCATTCTGTAAATAGGTTAATCACGGCAGACGCAGCCAAGAGTGTCATTGCACTGATGACTTGTTTATTGCCGCATTTAAGGACATGGTGTCCGTAAAATTCACCAACTATTGTAAGGTGATTTTTCAATTTGCAACCAGCATTTTTTCAAAACTTTTACCGTCCGTGCTGCTGCCAATAAGCAGCTATATTAGATTATATGAATATATGAATCAGACTTGGTTCCAAAGCTGATTTTCTTTTTGTTTTTAGTGTTCTTGTTTTGCAGCTTTAAGCCCATCGCTTTGACAGGAGATGTTAAAAGGCCAAAATAGACCTTTAACTAAACATTTGTGTTGCTGTATGCAGATTTTTGCAGCAGATTTCCAGAAGATTTATAGCAAATCCATGCAAAAAAACAAAATGCAGGATTGCTTTTTGTGACAAAGGTGCATGTGTTTCAATCCATCCATCACAGAAAACTAAGAAACTTAACACTGCTGCTGTGATGTACGTTTTTGGTCCAGTGTCCACATACTTATGGCAAAGTGCCTCTGCAGCTGGACTGATTATATAGTTTTTTACTGTTTTCTGTAACCTCACAGTCTAAATGCATGAAAGCGTTTAATTAACTCGCGTCAATAGCAGCTTTTACGCTACATATTGTGCGTCGACGGCGGCGATTATTGCAGCACGGTGACTTTGCGGCGCATCATTCCTACAGGATCACAGTGGTGGTGATTTCACATATCCCCCTCCTCCTCCTCCTCCTCCTCCACCGCCACCGCCTCCTCCATCTGTCCTCCTTTGCTCTTGCCCTCCTTTTCCCTCCAAACTGAAGTCGCTGCCCCGTCAGGGCTCGTCTGGTTGGTTGTGTTTTCTGTCTGAGAGCCTTTCCTTCTCCTCCCTCTCTGGTCCGACTGCCACATGCTTCCCCCTTCTTCCACGCTGCGCTAGTTTCTGGGCATTTTGTTGGAGGACCACACAGCACAAACACAACCACTGCTGCTGCTGCTAATCCTCGGAGGTTTGCTGCGCCGCACATGTGTTTGTGCGCGAGACGGCCCAGTTTGAGGGTGTTTTGTGTGAATTGTTAGCGGAGTGTGCGTAACGACGACAGGTGGCCGGGCTCCTGCAGCAATTAATTAACACCGCGTTTATGAGAGGCCCATGAAAGGAAGCGAGCCCTCCGAATACACTTAAACATGTTCCTGAAATGAACTCGGAACAGTTTGGAAAATAATTAACTTGAATGTTAATTACTGGCTTGACTTTTTTTTCCTTTCCATTCAATCTGCTGCTCATTTATTCCCTCACATGCTCTCTTTATCGTTCCTCAGCTCTTCTGCTGACTCACTGACATGCTGGTTATCAGTCACTTACACACATACACGCACTGTATGACTCAGCCCTCGTAGATTTTAGGCATCCACTTTGGCAATGAGATAGATGGGAGGAGGGAAAAAATGCAAGTATTTTTTTCCTGCAAGTGTGTCGACTTCATTTTCAATCTGTCTGCTTTTAACTTCCACTGTCCGCTGTCACTTTGAGGTTCTCCGTTATTTTTTATTCTATTATTTTCCTCCCATCCCTCCGCTCTCTTCTTCTTCTACACCCCATTAAGTAGCGAGGCCACGGCGAGGAGCCGAATGTGTCCCACCAACGCGACACACCTTAATGGGCTTTGATTAGAAGCCATCGCAGTCACTCAGCCGTTCATTGTGTGCTCTGTCACACCGCGCCCGAGTGTATTTGTGCGCGTTTGCAATTTTTTTTCCGGCGTCTCCTCCGTCTCCATGAAAGACACCTTGTTAACCGGCATTGATTTTGGCTAATGAACCGGACATCGGCTGGCCTTCACATAGACGATGGTCACTGTCAGCATGAGAGGCGGCGACTGTTTAGCACTCACTGTCTGAAACACAGTTAAAATAACAACAACGGCTTTGGTGTCTGGAGCCAAAGATAGCAGCTGCCAGAGAGGGTCTCTGATCACAAGATGTCAAAATAAAACTGTATTTACTGTATGTCTGCTTTCTCTCACCCAGCTTCATGAGCCAGTCGGAGACCTACACCAAACTGTGCTGCAAAGGCTTCTGCATAGACATCCTCAAGAAGCTGTCCCGCACCATCAAGTTCTCCTACGACCTCTACCTGGTCACCAACGGGAAACACGGCAAGCTGGTCCGCGGGATTTGGAACGGAATGATTGGGGAGGTGAGATTTAGCCGAGTTATTTAAAGAACGGCAAATCCCTGAAAGCAGCAGCCGGCGTGGCTGCACCGAGTCGCAGCTGATGTTGTACAGACAATTAGAACGAGAGGTTTTAAAATGCTCATCCGCAGATTTAACTAAATAAATGTAGCCTCGGGCTACGGCAACCTCAATTACCTCAGAGGAGCACGGCGGGCGTTGCCTAAAAGCAGCACTGAATGCTGACCCACGGCCGTAGAAACACTTGATATTCTTTTGGTATCTGTTGCTTTTTCAATCAGAAATAATCCTGTTGAGGTCATGAAAACACTGATGCTGGTATTAGATGATAGTTTAGACATTTGAGATGCATTTAGGTAACTTAGGCAGTGACATACTTTTATCTTTTATCATCCGACTCCCCAGATGTAGACTGTGGGTATAAACCCGCCATTAGCGACACATGTCAGGTGGATTTCTCCTCTTCTCCCACTGTCTACATGTTTCAAATCTCCTTCACGACAGGAAGCAACAACCCACCACACTGATGTGGCTCATACAATAAGAAAGACCTGCTTTTCTTATGCTGAATTAGCCAATTTTCCACCAAATAATTCTCCAATTTTAAAAAGTGTGTACAGTGAACTTCGTCAAAGTTTTTCACTTTAAACAGCAGCTGGAAGCAATGCTGATGGAAATCAACCAGAATTGTGAATCTGCAGCCATAAAACCAAACACCAGTCACATTAAACACTGTCCTTTAAGTCATTGCTGATATAAAGATATTTTATTAGTGCAGCTTTAACCCCAAGTACAAGGGTTCAAACATAAATCTATGTGACCAAACGTCCTGTCCTGGCCGTCCTGGTTGTTTTTTTTTTGTTTTTTTTTGTTTTTTTTTAAAATAAAGTGTTGAAAATGTCCTGGTCCTGTTCTGGAGGAGGCACACTGTGAATGTATTTAAATTAAAGGCATCTTTGAGTGAACCCTGAGTATCACTTGAGGATCTCATTGTCGGGCCGAGTGTCCTGGTCACCCTAATCTATGCTATCGTAACAAGTCCATCCATCATCTATACACCTTAATCCTCACTTAGGTCTCTAAGTGTAGCCCTTAAGCAACCAAGCACACTCACATTCATACCTACGGACAATTTAGAATCACCAATTAACCCCAACTTGGACTGTGGGAGGAAGCCGTAGAACCCAGAGGGTGTCCTCACCGGGACGCGAACCGGCGACCTTCTTGCTGCGAGGCAACAGTGCTAGCCATTGATCCACTTTGCAGCCCCTATCTTAACAAATCTTACCACTAGATCCTTCAGTATTACTCTCACACAGACCCAGTAGGCTGGAAGTCAGTTTGGGTACTTTTCAGTCGAGAGAATTTTTTTCTTTTTGTAAATCTTTTGATTATGCATCATGTTTCGGAGCAATGTTTTTGTTTGGAGCAAGGTTTTTATTCAACAGTCAGATTTTATCAGCCCATCGTTTGCTTAAACCGTAAAATCTGAAGCATTTCCAAGCGCTGACGTACAAATGTAGGATAGAAAGTACCTCAGAGGTCTGCTCAAAGTCGCGACTCCCTTTTTGCACAGCGGCACAGTGTGAAGTACGGATGCACGTCTCGCATTGCACACGAGCACAAGAGTTTCTCTGATGGGCTTTATGTAGGTCAGTGGTGTGAGGTCGTGCATATACATATGGAGCGAACACACACTTTTCTTTTAGCCCCAAAACACCGAGCCACATCAAACACAGCTGCATCTGAAAGTGAAACACCCCGAACAGGTGTTCCTCAGGAGAGCCTTCCTGCTTGTGTTTCTGCGCCTGAAGGCACTCTGTTTTGGATCTGGAGCTGTATAATTGTGTGTGTGTGTGTGTGTACAACATGTGTATATTAAAAAAAAAAAAAGTTAAAAATTGCAAAAAAAAAACCTGCTTTTCAGAAAAGCAACCTTGAACATGAGCTCCCTCGAAATGCAGCAGCGCGTCTTCCTGGATGAGACAAACATTTTTCATTCATCTCTGCCGTTATTAGACGTACTGTAGAGCTCGACAGGTCTGCTGCTTGTGGCTTCCCTGTTCAGAGAGGATTGCTCGTGAAATTCACCCAATGCTCGTTAAACTCCTTCATCTGAAATGCAGTAACCAACGTTTTCTGTTTCTCAGGTTCTGTACAGACGAGCGGACATGGCCATCGGTTCTCTCACCATCAACGAGGAGCGTTCGGAAATCATCGACTTCTCCGTGCCGTTCGTCGAGACGGGAATCAGCGTCATGGTGGCGCGCAGCAACGGCACAGTATCCCCATCTGCCTTCCTGGGTGAGAAAGTCCTCCACACGGGTTTGACTCTGGTCAAAGTTATCCCGCAGTGTGATGTGCATGTTCTCCGAGTCGCCGCCACCTTCTTCCCCACCACTTTCCTCCAGGATGGCCTACTTTAAACAAGTTCTGTCTCTGCAGATGCTTGAGGAAACTTCCCATTAAGCTTTTATCCCACCAATAACTGTAGCCTACAACTAAATCCCCCTATGCACCACACATACCTAAATCCCTTTTCCAAACCCCAAACAACAAAATTCAGCACAAAATCCTCAACAGTGCATTTCTCCCCCTGCTTTCATTTTCACATCAGTCGCTTCCTTCATTCTCTCTCCTGCTATCCTCCTACCACACATGGTGACCCCCACTGGCTGAGGTTTAGAAGCAGGAAGCACAAAAGAGACTTAACTTCAATCCATGTTTGTTCCTTCCCCTTCTCCTCCCCATCCAGAGCCCTACAGCCCAGCCGTTTGGGTCATGATGTTTGTGATGTGCCTGACCGTGGTGGCCGTGACGGTGTTTGTGTTCGAATACTTCAGCCCGGTCGGCTACAACCGCAGTCTGGTGAGCGCCAAAGGTGAGTTTTACAACTTTTTCCCCTTTACTTTCAGTGGTAGGAGAATGACAGAGGAGTGAATAATTACCACAGAATAATCAAAAGTGGAGAGAAACAGGAAAAAAATAAAGCCAGTTAATGTATCACACAGATTTTCATGCTTATAATTCCACGTACTTGCAAAGCAAAGCATAAAATGGCCAAATTGGTTAAATTTGCTTCACAAAATCCACAAAGCAGTTTGAAGCTACTCCATTTTTTGTCATACGAGGAGTTTCGCTGGAAGCCTGCCGACACGCAGTCCGGAGTTCTTCAAAAAGATTTTGAAGAGAGGGCTAATCAATCCCAGAATGCAACGCCGACAGAGCGCGCCTCGTCTCCGGGTCCGAAAGGTCACTTTCCCGTTTTAATTAGCATTCGTCGCCGCGCTAATCGAAGTGTGATTGATGGTGGTGGCACCCTCCGTTGCTGCACATGAGCGGCGGTGGCAGAGAGCGATGGAAACGGGCCCGAGGCGCTGAAATTGTTCTGTCGCTCCGAAGTTTGCAGAAGGACATGAGATGGCTCGTGAATACTCAGAGGACATGTTTTATTTGATGAGAGGAAAATAGCCTAAAAAACAAACACTCAATACAGCTGAAAGACAATAAAATAAAATCTGGTGGCTGTACTTAAAGGGTTAGTTCGCCTAAATTACTTTCTCACTAACCCCTGATTGTATTTTATCATTGAGATGCTTTTCTACTGTTTTCTGCTTTTTGCTGAAGAAATAGCCCCCATGAAGAAAAAAATTACATCATCACTCTTTTCTGCAAGAGCCTAACAATGACATCCTTGAATGTAATTTTCAAAGCCCAGCACATAAATAGGAAGTGTATGATGTCTTCAAAGCAGAAAGAGGAGGTGTGGGTGGCTGGACTGATCAACAAAACACCTAACATGAGAGGGATGGTCATGTTAATCAAAAAAAAATCAACATTGGTTTATTCTTATCATCACAGTGGTTATTCCTTGACCTGAACTGGTTATTTTTTAACCAAAACTCTGATCATCCCCGCCTCCTACTCAACTTGTGTTTCTACCTAAACCTAATAAACCATCACCTGATCCCCAACACAAACCGGTGAATCTGAAAGGCAGGTTATGTTTTAAAAAGTTTTAAAAAATCTCCAAAATTACACCATTCAGGTGTAAAAACAGAATTGGATTTTCAAAGTCACAAGACTTACAGTTGGAAAATTAACCAGATCAAGGCTTAAAATCAGGATGATAAATCAAAATAACTTTTTTCTGAGTCTCTTTCCAAATTTCACCCAAAAAAACTAAAACGTTTGCACTCGTTGATGCAATGGTGAAGTCATGACGGGTTCAGCTGTGACCAGCGGTGAGTGGAGACAAGTTAGAGAGACTAAAAGCCAAATAAAAACCTACTTGATCAATAAAGTTAATGCAGCATGGCTCACCAATGGTACACAGAGAGGCCAGTTATAAGAAACAGTTAAATTCAGCATGTGTTCTTTGAGTGGACGGTTGTTAAATGGTTTCGTCCTGGACTCAGAAACATTCAGGTGTTGGACTTTATTTTCCACTTTTCACAGCTTGCTTTAGAAACAGGCCCCAAGTTAGTTTCCAAGTGTAAGCTTTGAGTATGAATATGCTTCATGGAGCCAAAGTAACCTGCCAGGAAGTCAGACTAACTGAAATAAACCTGAATTATTTGATAAACTTGCTGATAAACCTGCTTCATGGAAAAGGCCTCTGGATACAAAGAGAGCAAACTAAACTTCACAAGAGACACAAAGGCGAACCAGCCAGTCCAGAATCTGGCAGAAAGTGGCCGGACGACCACCAGTGTCTTTATAGTGAGGAGGGTGATCAGTGAACCAGGATCAGGTGAGCTTGATTGCAGGATTCAGCACAGGTGAGGAAACAGCAAGAGTGGGAAGAAGAGGGCAGAAACAAAGAATCATCAAAAGTTAACACACATCACAGTAACCGCTGGTAAAACAAAATACCTATAATATGAAGCTTTTTCCTCTTTATTAGTATAAACTATGGAAAAATGTACAATTTTTGTAAAACAAATCATGAAAGAAATTCAAATTTCGTGTTATTTTTCAAGGCATTATAACTTTGACATCCTTGACAACAGGTATTTCAGAGTTCTTCCTACTTCTAGCCTTGTTATGTTGTTTCCATAGATGTGCTGGACTTTAAATTGCAGTAAAAAAGGAGCTTACAGTGACGGAAACAAAAAAAAACCCACCAGGATTCTGCTTAGAGTTCAGATTTAAACACGTGCTGTTGAATGATAGCGACGACGTCGTCTTGTGTGAGATCAGAAGTGAATCTTGTCTGGTTCTGGAGACGAACTGGAATAAAAACTGTAGACTGTAACAAAGAGACTGGAGGAAGAGAAGATGTGACTTTTTAAATGTAATTCCTCTCTGCTGTAACCACCACAATGAAACTCCGTTCACTCCTTCGCTTTGGGCTGAAGGTGTTTCTTTCTGGATAGAACTCTTTGAGTCCTTCAAATAAATTTCCAAACAGAGCCCCTCTTTTCTCACTCCAGCCTCGGGATGTCTCAAAATTGAACTGAATTAAAGACCTCGTCACACTGAACCTCTCTCCGTTTTCTCAGCTCCCGGCGGTCCAACCTTCACCATCGGGAAGTCGGTGTGGCTGCTGTGGGGCATCGTCTTCAACAACTCCGTCCCCATCGAGAACCCCAAAGGAACCACCAGCAAGATCATGGTGCTGGTCTGGGCCTTCTTCGCCGTCATCTTCCTGGCTTCCTACACCGCCAACCTGGCTGCTTTCATGATCCAGGAGCAATACATCGACACGGTGTCGGGCCTCTCCGACAAGAAGGTAAGAGAAAGTTTCACTCGGAATAATGACCTGGACAGACGGTGAGAGTTCGCGACGAGAGGAGGGCTGTTTTTGTGTAGATACGAAGCGCCTTTGTGTTCGCGCCGCCGCCACATCTTCTGCTCTTTTCCCCGTTCATCACTCTGCATTGACTAATAAACCGTGAACAGGAAGAAAGAGACAAAAAGCCTTTAAGATGAAGTCAAGTAAAAGGGTTTTGTTGTGAACGTCTCTGTCCTTTTCCTATCAGCGGGGAGCCCAGTGGCATGAATGACTAATCAATTACTGCCTTCTGTCAATACAGATGGTGTCTGAGTCTCGACTTGTCCCTGTCAGTATTTCGGTCCGTCCGTCAATATTCCCCCTGCGCCGTCTCCGTCTCCTCGTCTCGATCGCGCTGTTAAAACAAGATCGCCAAATGTCAAACGATTAAAGAAAACAGTCGAGCCGCGGAGGAAAACTACGCCCGCGCACTTTTCCCTACCGCTCAGATGTGTCGCTGGAAACCCGGGCCTCGGAGGAGCTTTAGCAAAAAACATTCTTCACACGTGGAGAAAACAACTCCCAGGCAGGGATCAGCGGAGCCACCGCGCTGATCCACGGCTGTATTAACTGGTTTTATTAATTTTATGCAGATGCGTTGAGGCCTGATATAAATGAGCCCGCACCAGCTGCCCTTTGCTTCTGAAATCCTACACGACAAAAGGATTAGTCTTGTTTAGGGTCGTAGGCTGCTGCATTCACATCTCTCAGGTTTAAAGGATGAAGCTGCTGATACTCAATAACTTTCCTTATTGGCAGGAAAGATTAGTTAGTCTTTCTACTAATAAATTCCCAACCTGACAGGCATATTTTTTCAATTAAAGACCTGAGGATAGTTAGAACTTAATCTGAAATTTCCCGCGGACAGACAGATTGAAAATGCACTCGACCCAAACAGATTTGTCTAATTAGAAAAAAAACACTCGGAGCCATTTTTGGCTGCAAATTTCTAATAATTTCTGGAGAAGTTTCCTGGAAACAAAAGAAATAAGAAACAATAATAATTTCATTAATAGAAAAGTTGCATTTAAAGTCAAATAAATGTTGATTTGTTGTTAATTTTATAATCAAAGCTTAATTATTCTGTAAAAAAAATTAATTACAAATGGAATTAATAGATCTAAATTAAGCTAGGAAGTAATGTTAATGCCACTATTTAAGTTAGATTCACTTAAATCCTTTGATTCCTCTCAAAAAAGCATTAATGCAACTTAAATTCAAGGAAAGTTAATTTGAATTTTCCAAATTTTTCAACGTAATTGTTCATTTTATCCAAATGGAAACATGGTTTTGTTATTAGACGTATCATTCTTTCACTTTCTTTACTAGAAAATTATGAGAATTATGATAAAAAATTTCGAAGACAAACAACTAAAGATGCACTAAAACCCATTTTCACACTTTTGCTGAAATTAGAATAACAGTTTAAAGGGCCAAAGTGTAATTTTAAGAAAGAACGCTGCCTTCACCAAAGCAGACAGATAAGTGAAATTTATCCAGAAACCTGACTTTACTTCAACTGCAGCTCAAACACACTTTTTTTTACAGAGTACGTACGATTAATAGTGAACACATAGTTCACTTTTTTTGCACATCCATCCATGAATTTACTGAGACCTTACATTAGGTTTAATTTCTTGATTGGGAATACACATTTAAATGTCGGTTTTTAAATGTGAAATCTGGGGAGTATCAGTGGGTATTAGCGCTCATTTTCCCGGGCAAAAAGAAACATCTGCCGGTGAGAGGAGGTGTCATGTTACGCAAACCATGGATCTGTTGGAGCGGTGAGGTGTTAGTAGTGATGGTGGCGAGAGAGAAAAAAATGAACTGACAGCAGCGAGTGATACCTGCCGGCTGCTCTGCTGTATTTTCGGCGTATTTGTGACCGACCTATTTAGGATTGCGTCATTGGTTGGCATCGAGACCGACCATGTGCATGAGCCATGTGGTGGAGGTAGGCGTCTACGCTGCTGTCGAACCTGGTGTTCCCGCTGGCTGAGGCGCCTTTTAAACGGTTTGCAGACTCTAATCGGCGGAGTAGTGAAGGTGCAGACCCACAGTAATGCAACGGCAACCTGCATGACCCAATTAGATGGAATATAATGTGGCCGCAGGTTGTGGATTGAGTCACGGTTTCTATTAACTGAGTGGACTTATTAAGACCTCGAAGCCCGTTTGCCTCCACTGAGGAGATGCCTTCTTTTAAAAATGGGTCACAAATGCATTTTGAGTGTTTCAAATTTGGATTGACAAGACAAGACAAAAAGGAGTATGTTTCGTGATGTGGCGCACAACAAAGTAAGACACCGTAACGTCAATTTTAGTTTAAATGAATGACTTCCTCCATGTGTTTGTCCTGGCAGGGGGTCTTTTATTTTGGCAATCAGGTTGGAGGAGCTGGGTATGATGAGGGCTGCTGTTTCTGAGTCGTGCTTGTCAAAGCTCTTGAGTTTCCTCAGCTGGACGCTCTGCTGGATCCACTTGAATTAAGCGATTATGCTGCAAAAGTTACCTTCCTATGCAACCAAATCTGCTGGATAAAGTTAATTTGTGATGGAAACAAATAAATGTGTTTCAATAACATCACAAGTAAGCAGAGAATAAAAGTTTAGCGCGTAAACACGCCAGATCAAAGTGTTTCGACTCCAGTGAGAATCAACATGGTACAGCCGAGTCCCAGATGAAGGTAGGAGATGAGGACAGGATTCCCAGGAGTCCAGACGCTGGTGGTGGCGGAGGAGAGTTAGCAGATGGCAGATGGCTGATGGAGACGGGCTGAGACGAGACTGGACAACCTGGATGAGGTGGAGATGGAGAGGAGGAGGGATGCTCCCATCGGAGTGACAGAATTACAACAAATTTGAAAAAGAACGAGGTCGAGGGGTTGATTGGTGAGCGGAGCACGGCAGTGGATAGATCCTTGGACGAGTTTAGAGTCGTTGAGGTTAAGAGTGAGATGATTTTGACAGTGTAGGAAGTGAATGGTTCTGAATTAGAGAGAGGAATAAAGACAGAATGCGAGTAAACTTAATTGCAAATCAAAATATATTCTCCTTTTTTTTGTTGCTTTATTGTTGCTCCTGTTCAGCCATCCACTCTTATATCAGATGAGATTGGAGTCATCGCCCTGCTAACCCAGAAAATAGAGAAGAAGCTTTAAAAATATTGTGTAAGTGTAGTGTTTTAACCCAAACTGTGCCTTGTTCTTTAACCTAACCAGGTACAACTGGTGCCCAAACTTCACCAAGCTTCTAACAGTTAGCTACCTCAGTGAAAGTCTCAGCCAAAACGGTATATTTTTCTAAACTGAACCGCGTACTTTTGGTGCAAAATCAGACAGCGGCTACAAACAAAACGTAAGAATAAGGTTTCCTGAAAGAAGGTCCAGTCGTTGACTTGCGCCACCATCCACACCTCTGAACTCCTGATGCAGACTTTGTGGTTGTCCCGCCTGCTCCACAACTTTCCCTTTTGATTTCTGGGCTTTAAAAAGTGGCTAAACAGAAACACCCGGTGTCATTTTATAAACTCAAAGCAAACCACATTGGCTGTTAAACATACAACACTGTCTCGTGTTTATGTTACTGGTGTTCACTGAAGTCAAATTCCTCGTATGTGAAAACCTACGTGGCAAAAAAATCCTTTCTAATTCTGATGAGGTCTTGGTTACACAGACAACACTTAGTAGGGTTAGCTCATGGTTGGTTTTAAGACAATGCTGACATCCCTACATGCACCAGTTGTTCCTCACATCTTGCTGCAAAGATATCATGTCTTAATGCAACTACAAAGTCTTTGTTCTGCAGGTTGAAGTTAGTTTTAAAGGTATTTTTGGAAGAGCCACACGAACACAAAGCAGGAACTAGTCATAGAGACCAACGATGGAATGTGGACACCAGATTCATCAGACTGCTGAAGCCTTCGATAAACTTCATTAAAGCTGAAAATGTGACTGTTACGTTAAGATAGAAATAAAAATTGTAAACCCATCCCTGTAGTTTCTAATGTTCTGGCAGCGATGTGGGTTTTAGTCCAATCAGCTGATTATAAAACAAGCACCTCAGCTGAATCCTCTCCAGTTGCAGTGATCATATTAACGCACACACTCTCTCCCACTCACACTTTGATTGGACCATTCATTTGGCTCAAAAGGTCAAAGCCGTAAGCAAGATGAATGGATCCCCGTCTGTTTACAGTCCAACCGAACCCTAACAGGCGTGTTTCTGCTCGGCGCCGCGCGAAACGTCACCTCGTGAAATGTGAGCTTCGATCGGGCGCAGATTGAACCGGATTAGGATCATCTGTGGGCAGCAAAGTGATTCAAACAGATGCACGTTGACTGATGTGAGATTTAATCGAATCGAGGTGAGCGACTGGCTTCCGGTCCATTTGTACGGCAGCGAGTTTGCTGCTGATTAGATCAGTTTGGGGGGAAAAAAATGGAATGACTTCAAAATGGATTTCATTTAACTGAGTAGTCCCTCATTCTCTTTACTTGTTTTTATCCCATTTCTTCATTCTGGTCCCTCTTTTCTTCCTTTTTCTTGCAATTATTTCTGCTCTTCTGTCTGCTTCTCCTTCCTTATTTCCTTTTCCTTGTCCTTACGTCTCGTTTATACTCTACTTCCTTTTCACTTCTGTCCTTTACCTTTCATTCCTTTACATTTCTGTCTTTTCCATTTCTGTTTCCTCTTCTTTAAACTCCTTTCATCGTTTCTCTTTCCCTCTTTTCCCCTCATTTCTTCTCTTTTCCCTTTCCTTTGTATTTTTTCCTCTCCCCTTGTCTTTTCTACTTCTTTCCTTTCCTCTTTTATCCTCCTTTCTCCCATTCCTTTGCTCACTACTCTTCCCTTGCTTTTTTCTCCTCTCTTTTTACTTTCATCTCCCCACTTTTCTATTTCATTTTCCTCTTTCTTCTGTTTGTCTCTTTTCCTTCCTCCCCTCATCTTTTCTAAACATTTCCCTCACTCGTTTGCCTTTTCCTCTTTTCTTCCATGTCTCTCCATATTATGCCCTCCCCCCATTTCTCCTCTCCCTCCCTTCAGTCTCTCTCCTCTCCTTCTGTTTTCTCCTCACTTCTTCCCATCTCTTTCTCCTCCTCCTCTTACCTCTCTCTCTGTTGTTTCCCCACTCCTCATCTCTCCCGTCTTCCTCCCCTTCCCTCTCATCCTCTGTCTCCCCCCACAGTTCCAGAAACCACAGGAGCATTACCCTCCTTTTCGCTTCGGGACGGTCCCAAATGGGAGCACGGAGAGGAACATCCGAAGCAACTACCCCGACATGCACACACACATGATGAAATACAACCAGAAGGGGGTGGAGGAAGCCCTAGAAAGCCTCAAAACCGGGTACAGTTCTGCTCACATTTTAACCACACGGCACGATTCAATGGGAGGTTATATTTAACCGACTGTCATGGTGATGATAATTTGCGTGATGCAGCAGAAATTTGACGCTCTTTTGTGTTGCACCTATTTTAGAATCAGGCCAATGTGACGGGTGTATTTTTAGTCGTGAAGCCGCGTCTGGAGCAGCTTAATTTGTATAGAAAAGTGCTGTCAGACTTCCTCAAAGGAACCAGCTCACCCTTAAAATACTCGAGGAACCATTTTGGGACCATTAACTTCAAATTGTGTCTTCTTTCTTTTTATTGATTTTCTCGTGTCAGCGTGGAATGAAAATGAACTTTCAGAGAGCTGGAAGTTGTCTGAAATGTTAAGAGCGAACATTACGTCACCTTTAATTCTGCTTCAGACCCAAATGTCTCATAGCTGTAGGATCGACTGCGATTAGATTTGGCAGAAACATTTTTGACAACCAGAAAACAACTTTGCTTTGATTCCACCAACCATTGTTTTTTTGGTGTAATGTCTCAATAACAATTAGAAATTTGGTGCAGATCTCTACGGTTCCCAAATGGAGGTCTCTCACTTGTTATCTAGTGCAAAGTTTTCACGTTTTTTTAATCATATTATCCAGATTTTGGACAGATGATCATATTCTACAGAGCATAAATAACAGGTCAACATTTAAATGTGCAAATGACCAAATGTTGACTCCCAACATGCGAGTTTGCTAGCCTCTTGGCATTTAGCTCAAAGCGCTGCTAAGCACCACCTCACAGAGACTCTATTGGACTCTTTTCAGACTATTTCTTCCCGGTTGGTGCGCAGTAGAGTCTCTCCTCGTTCACTGGCACTACCACATGTACAGTAACTTTGGCAAAACATTTCCCAAAAGGCTGACTAAAGGCTCGCTGTGATGGATTGCCAATCTCAGGCAACTTTCAGGTTCCCGCAAACTGATTGTTTCTGAAATTAACTGGCAGTCTGGAAGGTGGGAAACATCTGAAAAACTGGTGGTGAGCTTTTGTCAGCAGAAGCCTGAAGTGCACAGCGTTTGTATTAAATGGGCTGAAACGTGCGAAAACACTGGTGGTGTTGGATCCTACGAGAGACCTACAAAGATATAAATGCAGGTCTAACAGTATGTAGGGATGAACTCATTAGACTTCTATCAGACAAAAACCCTTTTCAGACATGCTGGCTTTGTCAGTCTGTTGAAGTGATGGCATTTTGTCCTTCAGACATTGGTCCCTTCTCTGTTCTTCTTCTTCATGGCTTCATTCAGATACACAAATCTGTCTTTGGAGATGCTGCTTTCTTTTTTTTTTTTTCCAATATATATATATACTTTTAAAGATATTTTTTGGCCTTTTTTGGCTTTATTAGATAGGACAGAGAGAGAGACAGGAAAGTGGGGGTAGAAGAATGGGGCAAAGACCTGCAGCAAAGGGTCATAAGCAGGACTTGAACCCATACATGGGAAACCAGCTCAACCAGGTGAGCTATAGCGGCGCCCTGCTGCTTTCTGATGATGCAGGGATTAAATAAACTCATAGGAAAGACTCCTACAAACAACTAGAAGCTGCAAACTAAACTTCAGCTCCTATTAATAATTTGTCAAAAACAAAGATTACATTCATGCTTGAGTATCATTATTCCGTCAGTGTCTGTTTTCATTGCAGTTTTATTTTGCAGCTAATAGATGAGAAATTGTAAAGTGAATGAGAAATGCATTGCCGTTTGCTTTCTGTGATGTTTCTGGACAAATATTGGTGCTGAAATATGGAAAAAGTCTGTCTGAAATCACTTTACGATACTTAAAGTAGAGTTGCTAAGTGTGTCATCCATTAATGTGATGGCATTAACTTTAGACCAGGCCCGTATTGAAACTAGGTCCAACCTAGTGAGACTGCCAGCGCACCTTTTAGGATAGTATGGTCAGGGTGCTCATTCAGACATGAAGCCAACACAACCAGATGACTTCATTTATTCATTTCATTTATTTCTAATATATATTTTTTTGTTATTACCAGTCCAATGGTGAGTTTTTGCATCGAAATTTCAGCCAAAATGTGAACCAACTAGTGTATATTCAGTTTGACACTAAAGTAGCTGTTCTATTCTATTCTATTCTATTCTATTCTATTCTATGTCATGTATTCAGCAGCCTGCCGGTACAAGCTTGCCATTAGCCGCTCATTTTGCTATCTGCATGTTAACGTTTTCAAAATCTTCTTCACTTCACTTCAAGAATTTGGATCATGCAGTAAAGTCGCCCTTACTTCACTTCTGTAAATTAGCCATTTGCTAATGTGTGCAAATATTCCACCAACACAATTCCAACCGTCACCATTTTAAGTGAAAAGCGAAGCAGCAAAACCTGCTTCACTCCACCCAAGATGATGTGATTCATTTAAAGAAACACAAATGGATCACAGTAGTTTTTGCCCCTGTTGCAGAATGACAGCGAGGTGCATCAGATTAACAGGAAGGACTGCACGTCTGAAAGGGGCTCAGTATCATCTGTTTTCTTGCAGGAAGTTGGACGCCTTCATCTACGATGCTGCTGTTTTAAACTACATGGCCGGGAAGGATGAGGGCTGCAAACTGGTGACTATCGGCAGTGGGAAAGTGTTCGCCACCACGGGATACGGCATCGCTCTGGAGAAAGACTCCCGCTGGAAGCGACCCATTGACCTGGCGCTGCTGCAGTTCCTCGGGGACGGTGGGCACAGATGCAGACCTTCCACAACATAAAGCACAACACGTACCTGCACACACACACACACACAGAGTCACATTTTGCTCAGCTTTATCTGTGTTTATTTCCGTCTCACTGGCACACTGTGTGTGAACCGAGGAACTGGCGTCAGTCCAGTTCAGTGTGTGCTGTATCAGCGGGGAAGTGGGCTTACAGGGAAGAGTTAATATCCTGGAGAACAGCAGGGAGTGTTAGGGATATGATTATCTCCGTTACACACACACACACACACACACACCCTACCTACCTACACACAAATAGAAACACACTCACCATGACGGCCGCTGGTGTGGAGTTAATATCCTCCCTCCTCTGAGAGCTTAAGAGCACCCCACGCGTACGCTCACGCTCGCTCTGAGCTTTCCGTGATGATATAATAAATAGTGTGTTTATGGTCAACATACGGTAACTGAGTGATAAAACGGGCCGTGCTCCCTGGAGGCTGCTGGGGAGAGCTCAGCCCGAGAGGTTGCCACCTGTTCAGGGGCCTGGAGGAGCAGCGTACATGGGAATGACATCTAATGGAGGATGTGTTCAAGCACTGGAGATTCTTTTCATATAAATGATTCCTCATCAGCTCGGTGACGTGCATTTACAGGAGACAAAAGAGTCGCATGCAGATATATATTGCAGGAAGCAACTAGACGGACGTATAGTTGATAGTTTTCACAGTTTTTTTGGTTCATTGCTCCACTGGATTTGAAACAGAATAATAACTATATATTATGCACACAAAATCTGCTTTTCCACTTCACTTATGCCCCCTTAAGCTATATGATATCTGCACCCAGTGAAATATTCCAACTCATGACTCAACTGTTTTTATTGCTTCCGCTTCAAACAGAAGTAGAGCAGATGCCTTATTTTATACACACACTTCTCCGAATGTCAGCCACATGTGTTTGATATCTTTGGAAACTTTGGGATCTCCACTAGAATAAATGAGTGGGGAGCTGATTTCCTACTTTGATTCGAGGGTATTCACGTCTATATTGGGTTAGATGTATGACTTGTAGCCTCCTTTATGCACAGCGGAGACAGACATCCAAACGAGGTGTTTTCTTAGGGCCCAATAGTAAATTTTCTTAAAGTCGATCTACCTGAACCCGAGTTCAGAAGAACACATTAATCATCGAGGCTGGATTACGACCCAAGACAACAAACAACTGCCCTTAAAGTCTGGAGCCTCGAGCTTTTTGGTGATTCAACTGCAAGGACGCAATATCAAATAGGTCCTGAATTATTCTTGTGGCCTCGTCTAGAAGCAAAGAAATAAAGTTGGGTTTCATTGAATTACCCCAAAATGTAACAAACTGTGCTGTTTGTACTTTACTCCCAGATATTTGGATGCAGCAGGAGCGTAATGCCAAAAACGTTTCCTTCAGGGCCTCTAAACGGGTCAACCAGGCCATGCTAATTGATATTAAGGAAAACTTTACGATAAGCAATTCACGTCACGGGACTCAAAGTGGACTGCAGGCCGTCCTCAAGCCCAGGATATCAAACACTGCTGCTTTGTCCACGTCACAAATACGCACAAGACCTTCTCTGGCATGAGTGCATACATACATGATCCTGACAGATGTATAGGAGTCAGGCCAGTTTAAAAGAGCCTCATGAGGAGTTTGGAGGTGCAGAGGCAGTGGAAGTCACAGGACTGTCACCAAGGAATGGTGATGTTCGTTACTTTTTCACTTTTAAATTGTGACTTAAGCCTTATTTTCACTCAGTGTTCGGGTCAGAGACCAAAACAAGAAGACGCCAACGTAGAGTGTTTGCCTGTGGAGCGATTGTGTCTATTTCTGATGTTCACACATTTCTATAGGTCTAATCAGGCTACGATGCACGTCAAAAAAATTAAAGGGATGTGAAAAAGTATGTGATGAGTTGGTAGTGAGACCAGATGCGGCATAAAGTGGTTTAAAAACTCTGAACATTGTCAGTAACCAAAATGCATCATTCTTCCAAGACTCATATGTAAAACACACCATCAGGGAGGGAGATGTCGAGATGGTATTTTACAGCACAAATTAAGAGCATTCACTTTCTTTAGGACGTTATTATTTTCTGTTGCTTTTCAACATTGAATCATGGCTTTTTTTTTTTTTTTAAAAACAATAATTTACCAAAAAAGACTCTTTCATGTGGAAGTGAAAACGAATTTCTACAAAGTAATTTCAGTTATTTAAAAATATTTAGCCCAGACCTCAATTCAGCTGAGAATCTGTAGCTGGATTTGAAAACCACTCACCATCCTCATGCAGCCTGATGAAGCTTGATCAGTTTTGCAAAGAAGATTGAGGGAAAATTGCAGCGACCAGATGTGCAGGATGACTGATACCTGTCCGTGCAGGCTCGATGCATATTATACTTTCATATTTCAATTAATTAGCAATATGTTGTAGAAATCTGTTTTCACTTTGACACAAGAGTCTTTTTTTTTTTCAAATTCTTGCCATAAAAGCGAAATTCTATCAACTAAAAGCACTTCAAAGGGAGGTGAATACTTTTCCGCACTGAGCTATTATATGTTGTCATCTTTTTTTTGCTCTGTCAAGTCGTCTCATGCTCTCTTTCTGCTCACATTTCCCTCTTTTTTTATCACCTCTCTTCCCCTAAAGGAGACACCCAGCGCCTGGAGACGGTCTGGTTGTCGGGCATCTGCCAGAACGAGAAGAACGAAGTGATGAGCAGCAAGTTGGACATCGACAACATGGCGGGGGTCTTCTACATGCTCCTGGTGGCGATGGGCCTCAGCCTGCTGGTGTTTGCCTGGGAACACCTGCTCTACTGGAAGCTGCGACACTCCCTGCACAAGTCTCAGAAACTCGACTTCCTCCTGGCCATCAGCAGGGTGAGACTTGCAGATTTGTCGCTTGATTGTGAAAGAGCCGGGTTGTTTGTGCATCCCTGCTTGGATTGATGGCTGATTGAGGAAGTGGGGTTGAGAAATTGCTTCACTGATTTTTACAGTGAGTGTTTCGTTAAGTGACTGATTGGCCCTGCTGTAATTGGATTAGTTGTATAACAGCTTGATTGAGAGATTGAAAGACTGCCTGGTCAATTATTTTGCCTCTAAGTGGTTTGTTGGCTTTTTCTCAATCTAATGTGCTGTTTTACATGAAGTACCTTTTATGTGATGATAAATGAATGCAAATGGATGTATTTGCATATAACTACATGGTATCATTGGAGGACCTTGTTATAATATTAGCTCAAATGGAACAGCGTTCTTATTAAGAATGAGAAGGGAGGGGAGAGAGGACAGATAAAAAAGGAAAAGAAAAGCAGCTCTAATTCTGGTGTTTACTCAGCATTTAACTTTGATTGCCAAATGTTCATTTGCAATTAGCCTAAATCACTACCCAGTTTGTTGATAATGTTGTTTGGGAATGTGGTTATTGAGGCAAAAAAGCTCTGGCTGAAGTTACAGCCAGGGAAATGTCCATGGACTCCAGCCTCCTCTACTGTGTAATCATACCATTGTGCCTGGATCTGGGTTTTATCAGATTAACGGCTAAATGACTATCAGATCATTAATCCGTATGGGGCGGCCCCAAGGACCAAATTAAATTTGGCTCTTTCAGGATCTCTCAGCCAACTGTAAGCAGACAGCAGTCATGGGATTTGGCTCTTTGTTTGTCCATGGAGTCAGAGACTGTTCTGTAAAGGACTTTAGGCGTTTGGGTCCGTGTTCGTTTATTGGGGCAATCCTCTCAGCTTAAACAGTTTTTCTTTGAGTCCCAGGAGAATGCATAATGAATTTGTGACTAAGACTTGCCTCAGTGATAAAATGAGATATTAATGAAATCAGTTTTTATTTTACTGCCAATGGGGTTTTCAATAGTTAAGGGGTGGGTCAACACTTTGAGATGCACAAATTGGTTGAAATCCCATCTATGAAATTGTCCCCTTAGGACCAGTGGGGAGATTCAAGGTGAAACAGTTTGTGGCTGCCCATCGACTTAATTACAACTGACCTGTTAATTTACTTCACTTCTTCTGTCTTTTTTTTTGTCCGTCTCTGTCATTTATCAGGGTATTTACAGTTGTTTCAATGGAGTGGAGGATCCTGGGCGTTCCTCCGGTTTGGCCAAACCTGACCTGACCTCCAATTACGCTCAAGCCAACATGCTCAAGATGCTTCGCACTGCCAAGGACCTGGTCTCCACTGCCAATGTTGAGAGCTCCCTGGACAACGCCACCAAGACCATCGAGCAGCTGAGCCGTCACGGTGGCAGCTTGCCTGTTCGTGTGCCACAAGTTGCCACGGAGGCAGTACCGGGAGGGTTTGCTTATATTACAGAGAATCACTGCTCTCTTCCTCAGCGCTCCCTGACGCCACCTCTGACTGCCGTGACCTCTCTGAAACAGCACAGGGGTGTAACCAGGCCAACGCCACTGCGCTACACACTTCCAACGCGCTCTGCTTCGTGTCTATATGACAGACCGCTTCCTGTGTCCAGCCTCAGCAGCCCCCACCTGGCCGTTGGCGAGCCGCTCCCTCATCAGCACCCACATCACTACCAGACCACCGGGAGACTCTACGTAGACACCCACCCTCACTCGCCCTTCATCTCCTACACCGACCTCCAGCTACCTGACATCTACACCTCTCACCCGGTCTCCTCGCCCCAAAGCCAGCACGTCCATGCGGGATTCTCCCGACGAAAACGGAGATCCAAGAGTTTTCAGTGTGACGATGGGGATGTGGAGAGGAGAAACCAAGGGGACCAGGAAAAGAGTGAGAAAAGTCCCGTCTGCCTGAGTGAGCTCAAAGCCAACCACCTCCAGGACAACCACATCTCTGCCCCGAGCGTTGACAACATCTACTCAGAGGAGGGGATGTGTCCTCGGGTAGACAACTACAGCTCTTGGCCCCCAGAGGACCTTGTGCTGAGGGGCAGACGCAGGCACCGCCGGCCCTCTTTTCTTAAAGCAACTTGGGGTAGCGAGCAGATCCACCAGCTTGATGAATCTCAGTCGTCCCTGTCCAGCCAGTCACCTTCAACCCTGCCAGACCTGTTCCCATGCATTCTTTCTCCAAGCACACCTTCCAAGGCCTACAACCCTGCCCATCTTCGAAACAACCTGTGCCTCCCAAGGAACCAGGCCTACCTCCACATAAGGGAGGACCAGAGGAAGCCAAATGGGCGCAAGGGCCAGAGGCTGCGCTACTCCCACTCCACCCACCTCCCTACGTATGGAGAAGCAGTGCGACATGGGACTGGGTTAGGGCGGGGTATGGTACGGAGAGCCACCAGCTTGCTCAGCAGACAGTATGCCCACTACCTGAACTCGTACCCCGGACTGCCCCTCTATCACGGCCCCTTGGACCTGCAGCACCACAGCCAGGCTTCCAGCAGTCACCCGAGCCCCAGCCCAGTGTGCCAGCTGCTGGCTTGTGGTGGCGGGCGATGCGGGGGCCAGCGGGCCCTGCTGTACCAGGACAGTGTTTATGGGGCCTACGGGGTCTATCAGGGATCCCAGACTGGATCAGAGGCCCAGGCAGTTCAGGGAGCAGGAGGCCAACCTGTGGGGAGCCCCTGTGTACTTCGGCCCTGGCGACGGGTGTCCAGTCTGGAATCTGAAGTCTGATTTTAAACCATAAGGACCTCATTAGATGGAAAATGTGGAGATACAGAAGACTCTTAAACATTACCACTGTGGAGAGAGTTTACCGCTTAGATTAACGTGAAAGGGTAAAGTTAAGATTTGAAGTAACTGTTGATTTTCTGTTTGACTTTGTGTGGTAAAGAGTAGAAGTTCAGGTCTCCAGATGTTACAGATGTTTAGGACTGATGTGATGTACACTACAGTAAGAAGACTGCACTGTTACCAATTTATCCTCGAGAGAGCTGCGGAAAGCCGGAGTCGGCAGGTTTAGCTCACTTGCTGCTTTCCTACGAACAACGCTTGTGTGTTTTCTGTGCTTTAATGTGCACTAAGATTTACAACAGTCCATGGTGTTGGCGCATGGTTAAACTATAACCAGAGTTTTCATGCTGTGTGTTTGTTGTGTATATTTTCCTGTGGATGGTTGGGATTCAGTCTTGGGTGTCGTCTAGTAGATGAACTGTTTACAGCTGGGGAGAAGTAGTGGAGGTATGAGGGATTGTCTCTTTAAAATGCAGTCACCAAAAAAAAAACAAAAAAAAACAAGCAGCCACTGTAGCAAGATGTTTTTGAAGACAGATGTGACGTGAAGAGTTTAATTCCAACGCGAGACATTAAATATTAAAGCGCTTTGACTCCGGACACGGAAGAGCAGCAGTTTTCTAGAATGAAAAAAAAAAATCATTTTGAGACATCTGTTGATGAATTTCAGGTAACTTCTTTAAATATTTATAATGTTTTGGAGCTAAACCCTTCGCGTCTTCATTTAGTGATGAGTCAGAGGAAGAAGCGACTTTTAGTGAAAGCAGTCCATATGAACACAATCTGCAGAACGATGACAGTATTGGGACAGCACTGACCAGCACTAGGTGTCTTAAACCATGGACTCTTGTTCCTCACTGGGTCTCACTGTGAGGCTTCAGTACAGCACAACATCACACAGGGCCTCACGTTCAATAAATTCTGTATTCTAAGTACTATATCGATATAGAGAAATGTGTTATTTGAGACTGGTTAGTGTCATATTCATGTATTCTACATATAAGAATTTATAGTCACTCTTTTTCTAAAACACACCTCTGGCACACTCTGAGTTTTTCTTTTTGTAAAACTGTTTCTGATTTACTGGAACATTTGTTATTACTGTATTAACTCTATTAGTTGGCCTATATAAAGATTTTCATCACTCCCTGTTTTCCACTCTTTTATATTCCCTCATCATCCCTCTTTACCCCCATCGCTAACTGTTTAATGATCAAATTTAAATGAGGTAATTGAAAGCTATTCTAGTATCTATATTACCTGGCTCCCTCACCCTGTAATTAATCACTTAGACCAATTAAAGAGCCTTTTTGGATGAAAATGCGCTTGTGCCTCTTCTTTGTAGAGTCTTGATCTTTCTGCCTCCTGGAGAAAAATCGTGTTTTAATGGAGAAAGGCTTGTTAGACGTTTTGGGTATTCTAGCCAAGAGCCAGATACCACTCTCGTGTCTTTACATATTTAGCTGGTAGCTAAGAATAAAGACTGAAAACAGGTGGGAAAAGCTGGCAAAGGTTAGAAAACGTCCCCAGCTTCACGTCTAAAGCTTGTTAATTGGTTGATGTATGCTGTTTGTTTATCTGGACAAGAGTGAAAATGTAGAAGTTGTAGTCTGACTCGAGATGTGGAATTACAAAAGAGAGATTTTGTGGTAGATAACTTTTTTTTTTTTATTGCTTTGCACAAACCACATTGTAATAAGTTGCCATAAAAATACAGCCGAATTCTAACTGTAGCGCACAGTTTTTCCAAAATACAGTTACAAATTGAAAATCGCAAGCAAACAAGACACAAAATAATGAAAAAAAAGGAGACACAACAACAGAAAGGACACAAAACAGGACACAAAACAACACAAACCATATGAAGAAGACACAAACAATAAGACGCAACATAAATAGAAAGCAGACGTAAAATGACAAACAAACAAACAAGACACAAAAGGACAGAAAGAAGGCAAAAGTGGACCAAGACATTAATAAACGATACGAAAGAGCAATGAGACACGAGAGACAAAATCACGCAAATAAAACACAAAAACAAAAACCAGACACAACACGGCACAATCGAGACACAAAAGAAAAATGAGACAAAACACAATAAAAACAAAACAAAAGGAGACACAAAGGAGGAAGAACTGTCCAAAGAAACATGAAACAACAAACTAGACACAAAAAAAAGAAAAACGAGACACAAAACAAAAAAAACCCAGACAGAACATAACAAGAACAAGCCACAAAAATAAGACGTGTCAAAAACAAGACACAAAACTACAGTTACAGTCGATTACATTTACAACACGATAAAAAATACAGTATATTATTGGAAAGTCTTGTTGCAGTAAACAGAAAACCATCAATTATCCATTCCTTAACTTCCTGCTGTTTCTAGGCTTTATGCTAAGCTAACTAGCTGCAGTGTCACAATCACAGACTGCATTGTATTTTCCAAAACTTTTCATTAAAGGTTAAATAAAAGACATGGAGAATAAAAAGCCCAGTTAGAAAGGAAAAGGAAAAAAAAAGAACAGCAGATGCAGAAGACGATCTGGTCGCCGATCAAAGCCTCTGATCTTGTCATATGGAGGTCAGTCATCAGCTGCAGCATCCAGGAGGAATTTCCTTCTGGTGTTCGGGTCGCATGGCAGTCAGCTGGCGACTGACACAAATACGACTGCAGAGGAAATTTATAAAAAGGCTGCAGCGACTGGCTCGACCGATGCTCCTCTTTCGATTCTTAACTCTGCCGTGAACTTGACTTGGTTTCCGTCGGGGGTTTCGTGAACCGACGCAGCGGCAGTCGTGACACGGCGTAAAATTTACAGCAGCGCCCGGCGTCCAGGTGCAGATAAGCTGCCTCGACTCAAGGTGACCTGTTGCCATGGCAATTACTTTCTCTCTATGTTGTTATCATGAGGAGATAAGACTCCATTCAGAAGCCCAGATGAGTAATGTTAGAGAGTCCCAACATTGAGCGCTTTGATTTTTCCATTACTCTGTGCTTTGTTACTGGAGCACTGCCTTGGATTGGACCATAATATTGATTTAATCCTCCACTCACCGACTGATCCCATATTTTTAGAGTTCAGGGTAATTGGAATTCTTTTCATCCCTGAAGAGCACAAAGGGCTTCAGCATGATTTGGTAATTAAGACCCGCTTGTTGGTCTAACAGAAGGCCTGGATTTACACCGGTGGGTTTCGATTGGATCCTGTTTTTTTTGGTAGAAATGTCGGGTGTAGCACGGATGTACAGGAGGAACGTATAGTAAAAATAAAGCCGTCTTTGCTTATGTTTTAATGTCTTTATCAAGTTAAACAGTTGGACAGATCTAACCAGACTTTTCTAAATGTTTGTAATCCTGCCATTTATAAAGGAGTAAAATTAAATACGACAATAAAGAAGTGTTAAATTAAACTTTCTATTTTTAGGCCTAATTATAATATCAACACTCGTGTCAAATTGCATTAAAAAAAATGATATTTTAGTGCTTTTATCACAAAATCAGCTCAGAGAAAACATCATATAAAAGGCTCTCTTGAGTAGTTTGTTGCTAGATTGCTTAAATTATTAGAACCTAATTGGTTGATTACTTAAATACTAAGTGCACTGAGGTTTCACTTGCATACCTCATACCAGGAGACACGGCAATAGAAAGGAAAATGTTTGTTAATACTTCATACCATAACCTCTAGATTGTACTGTAATCAATATGTGTTTACAGAGCGCCAATAAAATACCTTTTAGGTACTTTTATATAAGTATAGCTTTAAAGAAGAAGGAAAAAAAAGGAATTGCTTTGACAGAATTATTATAATCAACAATTCACTGATAATCATGATCCTGATGTTGTCGATATCGTTGGAAAACTATTTACAAAAAAATGACCGAGAAACTGCATGTGTTTGCTTTAATAATGAACGTTAAATGGTTTAAATGTTTAGTTTTTTTTACTGTATATTCATGCTGCGTAGAACATTTTATCGTAATTAATTTCAAGTGGCATGGAAGGATGAAAAATAAAGGGTAAAGCTAACTAATGAGGAGAAACACAGCGGAAGCACTGCATGGTATCGTACAATTAGAGAATTAGCATCCAATCAGGCTCTGTGGCATGAATTAAAATGCTGAGCAGCTCAGTTGGTTTGCACTGTCGCCTCGCAGCAAGAAGGTCCCCGGTTCGCATCCTGGTGAGGACACCCGGGATCTTCCTGCGTGGAGTCTCCATGTTCTGCCTGTGCAGTGTGGGTTCTCTGTTGCCTGTCCAGGTGAACCTGCCTTCACCCTGAGTCAGCTGGGATAGACTCCAGCACCCCACGACCCTGGTGAGGATTAAGGTGTAGAGATGATGGATGGATGGATGAAAGAAGATTCGTCATTGGGGCACAGATGGCAGGAGCTTCAGTCACAAAGACCGCTCAACCGGCTACTGTTTAAATGCAGATTTGACTTTAGCCATTTTCTGTTCAGATACATGAGAAAGAAACCAGTAAATGGGGCCAGAAACTGTGGTTGACAGATTTGAAGACCATGATGCTTGTGCATTAGTGTCACATGTTAAGAAAAACATGAGGAGCGACTCTTCCTCAGGTGACGATGTCAACACAAGGCACGATCAGTTTGTCAGCAAGAACAATCCATCAAACACCAACGGCAATAGTCCACAGAGATGAAGAAAAAAGTACAAAGTGGTTCGATGGATCATCTTTCACCATATCCTTGGCAGGTAGTGGACCACATATGTGACGTACACCAAGAGAACGGTCACTCTGAATCAATACCAAGTCGGTCTGAGAGATGACCTCCATCCTGTGATGAAACGTTTCTGTCCTGATAGGAGTGGTCTCGTCCAGGATGGAAGGGATGCCATCCATAGGGCACCAGAGGTCACAGTCACCAGATCTGAGCTACTGAAACACCTATGAGAGATTTTAGACCAACCTCTTCACCACCATCATGGAAGCACCAAATGATGGAATATATTTGGGAAGAATGATGTTTAGTCTCTCCACTGGAGTTACTAAAGGTTTGGAGAACCAGTGTGAAGCTGCATTGACATTTTTTGGTGGGACGTGGTGGACCAACACCTTAGAA